GTTATCCCGATATATTGAGAGTAGTACCAGATTGTGAGCCTTGCATCTTCTTAACTCGAAATCCTCATTTGTTGCTCCATTATGAAACTGCAACGAAATCCATTAGGCATGCTGCAGGGCTACAAAAATCTTACTTAGGTTCGCAAATCAAGCGTCCTCACTTTTTGAAATTCCGTTCGTGGTATAATGATCTTTATAAAAGGGGAAATTGCCTATTGTTTCATTTGTGGTATGCAGGACTTTTATACCACTCTATATAAATATCTCCTTCTTAAATTACCGACTCAGGTGCAACATTTACTAATGTCTGTGATCTATTGCTTGCGAATTTTTACAAACGCCTTGAGCACTTTTTTCCAGATCATGACAATCGAGAACAGCTCAGCTTTGGCTTTGTCACCTTACATCATCCAGCTCCTGTCCGCGGTTTGGAATGGCGGCGAGCGGGGAGGTATATGCCAAGGTCAGCCTCTTTTTTTAACTGCAACATTTACTAGCATTTACTTCTGCAGGAAATGCATACAAGCTGTGTTAATGACTTGGTGTGAAGATAATACATCTCGCATTTGGAAGGAAACGCCACCTCCTGAATTAGCTATGATTGATTTAAGTGGTGACGGAGGTAGATTTGGTTTTTGTCAGTCATTTAAGGCAGGGAATGTGACTTTCTTCCTGTTCACTTCATTTACTTTCTTCAATTTTTGTCTTTTTTGAAATGATCAACTTAGGTGAGCCATCTTGGGAGAGGAACAGACCGCGAAAATTCTTTGGCAAACACTTCCGTGTGAAGAAGACGAGGAACAAAATTATTAACAAGCTGAAGGGGATTGTGTATGTTCCTCAACCTTATCCTTCAATTGATCTTCCACATAATATATCGTCTCATCCTAGGCCCGAGAAGAAACGAAGAGGAGAGGAGCCACCGCATGCTTTAGGCTTGAGAGCGCAGATTGGGAAGAGTCCTTCCTTCAGCGATCTGCAGTCTGGACAGCATTCTTATACAAACATACAATTTCATCTAGCCGCCACCATCAATGCAGAGACAGGTGTGCATTAGAAAAGCTCCTCCCATTCATTCGTTATCTGTAACGAAGTAGACAATAATTTTCTAGCAATAGTTACTTTGCTTGTCAATGATATCTCATCTAGATTGTATGCTTGTACCCTCTATGGAGAATGGTGGAGTTCTACAAAAACCGCTATGTGTACATTGGTTGAACAACAAAGAGCTTGTGTTCAGCATTGGAGCGGAGAAGTTGCTCGCTGAAGCCTTAATTTCAGAAAGTGATTCGAATCGGAGTTTGTTGCTAGCTCTTCGTAGTGTAGATGTTGAGGTGTTTTCAATATGGTTTTTTTGACCGGACATTTTAGGATCAGCAAATGTAAGTCCATCAGAGAATACGGAGAGCGAGTACAGCCCTTCATCGCCTACTTCTCATTCTGAGAAAGGCGAATGGGCGGCAAATGCTTTTGGCAGTGTTTGTTCGGTGAATTCTTTGCTAATCTGCTCAAATCATCTCCTCTCTTGGTTAATTATCTGTTGACAGTCTATCTAGGGTACTTTGCAATTGGTCACATGGAAGTATAGCTATTTGGAGAATAAGTCTTCTTTTAATCATCACTACATCTCAGGATACTCCTTCCTCGAAAGATATATTGGACGTGAAGTTGGAGATCCTGTTGAGGCAATGGACTAGGTCAAATGACATACTGTTTACTGTACATCCAGTAGATGGCTCCCTTCTGACATGGTAGTTTTCATATTACTATGTTTACTTTACTAAGCATTTTGTACTTAGGACGGTTGAGTGGCTGGATGATTTGCATCGCCAGCCCACTGTATCTTTCACCTCAAGATTTCCTGGTACGTGTTGACTACTATTAACAGAGGTCAAACTATCTTTTTCACCATATTTTTTAACACTTCGAACTATTCTAGCTGCTTTTCCTATCACTGATGCTTCATCACTTCATCCTACTTTGAATACGTTCAATCCTCATGAACCCATGTATGTTGACGTATTACGGAGAGAAGAAGGACGCGATGGAGGTTCGTGACTACCTTTCTTAGTTTTTCCTTATCTCATTGCTTGTTTTTACAGACTTATCTTTGAATGACCGTTTGCTGGAGAGAAGGATCTCAAATACTATTCATGTACTTACTAATCATGAGAATGGTTCATTGAATTTGTGGCACATGGTAGTTGATGAGAATAGTAATTTCGCCACAATTCTAAATATCACTCACATTTCAAGAATGTGTGGTCATCGTTTTCAAATTAGTCAGGTAACTTGCCTTTACTAGCAACTTTCATGCAAATTATCAGCTTTACCTCCCATTCTATCTCATTTAAGGTTGTCGCGCATCCTGTACTTCCTCTTTTGCTCACGACGTCACAGTTCCGAACTAGCCAAGCTATTGATAATGCTGTCAGTTTATTCTACAATCTTTTTATTCCGTTATGTCATACTGACAAATTTCTCCTTATTCATTGTTCGCTACTTTATAGGAAAAACGAGCATTATCTGAAGTAATTCTCTGGAAGATCTCCCCAGTGGGCCCATTATGTAAAAGTGGAGGAGTTATAGAGCTTGCGCGTGTTGCCAGTCCTTTCCGTGCTGGATTCGATTGCTTGGGCTGGATACCCGTTATCCTTCCCAGGTATTCTTGCATGCCTTTCCATTCTCTCTCTTATTTAGGCTAAAACTTAACTGAACCTTTTTTTCTGAAATCAAAATCCGTTCAGTTGTACCCTTGGAACTGTATGTAATTCACCCTCTTCTTGCTTCATTGCCAGTGATGGTCGAAATCTTGTCATTTACCAGGTGCGTTTATTTCTGGAGATAGCTTTTGAGCGCATAACTGTTTTTTATATGAAATAAGAACACATGGGCTCATTACCTTTTGTATTTCAGGCTGTTGTTGACGCACGCGGCCTTCTCGCTGAAATATACAATTCTACCCGGCAAAGCGAAGCTATCAATGATGAGTCAGTCTAAAAGAACTTACTGTGCCACGCTTTCTTGCTTTTTCTTCAATTCCCTTTCCGAAACCATTTTCTCTGTCCGGTAAACGGTCATAAACTTAGGTTGTCGTCCATCCCTTCACCTCAGAAATCTCCTAATGTTGGCCTCCTCCAGCAGTTCAATGTTGTTTCTACCCAATCAACAGCGAAACCTGGTTGTGTATTGGAAGTTGGGCAGATTACTGAGGCGGTCTCGGTACGAAACATAATCGGTCTTAATAAATATGTAAAAGTCTTTTTTTTTTCAGGCAAAAACGCAGCTTCTTTTGCTGCATGTGTTCCCTGAGCGCCTTGTCATTGAGGATGCTGAGACTGTGCGCGAAGAAGGCCAGTCTCGCATGGGAAGTGTAGTCGATCGAAGTAAAGCCGTAGTTTTCAATGATCGGTACTTTGTCGTTATGGTGGAACGTGGACCTGAATGCGAGACGTACGTTCTCTTGAGCTCCACTTGGTCTATATCATTGTTAAAACTTGCCCTAGTATTCATTTTAAGCACTGTGGGATGTTTCTACAAAACCTTTAAAAAAAAAAATTTGAACCTGAGGCTTCTAAAATCTCAGGGTTGAGGATATGGATGTGGTGTCTTCTTGACAAAGTTTATACTTTTGTTCAATATTTGCAGTTTCGTGATGTACTCCCTCGTTATCTCGTCTCAGTATCCTCAGCTGATTCCTCAGATGGGTTAGTGTCTTTTTTAACCATGTTTTTTTTTGACTCTTTGCTACTTACAATGTTTTTTGTTTGAATTATTAATCTTAATCGTGTTTATTACAACGCTGTTCTAAGCAGTTTAAATTTTACCACTGCGACGATTTATTGTTTTGTTCATCAGTGATCTTATGCGATTTTAATCGTTATTTGCTTGGTGCCTGTTGAGAACTACCTATTTAGATTCCGAGACTCCTCACGATGAGAACGGATGTCAAGCACCATTTCCGCCTTCTGTCGCTAAGCTATGTTTCAAAAGTGAAAAAGTTTGCGAACAACAAATTCCTCTTCCTGGCGGAGTTCACGTGCGTTCTAAGATATCTATCTTGTTCATTTACCTGCGATCACATATGTTTGCTATTTTAGGTTACTTCCGCTGTACCGGCTGCGGGACATCTTCCTTCATCATCTCTTTATCCTGCCTGCCAAGCTCCATTCGTTCTGCTCACAAGTAGCGACGGTCAGTGTTGAAGTTCTTTTTGTTAGTATAGAAAACGATTAGTTCTGTGAGATATACCGATTGCAGATGATGTAGTGCGGTTTTGGCGATGCATGGATGCTGAACCTGGTTCTGGTTTCAAGTATGAGTGGAAGGAGTGGAACATGATTAGCGGTAATCGGCCTAGCGAACTCGAGCTTGAGGGTAACAGTTTGTTGCTGAATTTATATTCATGTGGCGCGCAGATAGACATACGACTTTTTTTCTAGGCGAAATTCTGTCAGTCTCTGCCGCTCACAGTGGGAGAATTGCCTGTGCATATGACCCGAAAACGGGGTATATGGAGGAAACGCATAACGTTGCTGATGCAAGTTTCAATTTTTTTTTCTTAGAAGACTTCTGACTCTTCATCTTTCAATAGTTAAGGTGGAAATAGGCGTATTCGAGTGCGAATCGTCTGGTGGTGTAGAGTGGATGAGAGAGGACACCTTTAACTTGAAGAACATCCGCATTCCGGATTTATCGTTGGTTTCCCTCAGATTCTTCTAGTGAGAAAAGAACGATGGCCAACTAGTGATTTCAGTACTCTGCCTTGTTTATCGTCTCCCCTTCAAGAGCATGTGACAGAACTGTCGACGTCGCCGCGTACGGAATCATTACTCTCTCGCTTGCGTTCGAGTTTTCGTGGTGTGGCTTTGCTATATTAGCTGACTGCTTTGCTTCCAGCCCCTCCCTACTGCACGCTAAGGCAGGGTTCAAGCAAAGATTTGTCCAGTCGATCCATGTGAAATCATTTAGTTCATGCATCCAAAGTTTACACCAGAAAGACCAGACCTGCGGCCAATCGTACAAAAGTTTTACCTCGAAGTTATGCTAGGTAGATGTAGCAAATCAATTTCGAGACTCTAGATATATGCGTTCACGTTTGTTCAAACTGTTGTGAAGATGTTTTATCTGCAATCTTACAATTTGTAAGATAACCGAAGTGATCAGGATATTAATGCAGCATTTAGCTTAGTGTTTGAGACTATGCATGAAGGAGTGATGATTTCTAGAATGCTCGTTGCGTCTTTCCCGCATGTATCAAAATCTGAGTTCGATATCTTGACTGTTTGGAATGATCTATTTCTCCATTTAGGGCCTTCGGAGGACCTGAAGCGTGCTTTTGGGAAGAACACCACAGTGAAAAATCCTTACGAACATTGTGCGTTTTCCTTTCTTTCCAGTTTATCACTCTTTTTAAATGTTAACCGCATCATGTATGGTTCGTAGAGGAGCTTGTGAACCTTTTTAGCTGAGAATTTTTCACTTCTCAAAAAAGTAGAGCGAGACCATTATTACAATACGCATATCAACTAGTCTAGTAAGAAGGAGTGAATCTCATTCAATGCAGCAATTTTTGAAACGATAGTCATTGTGCTTATTTGTTAGCAAACCTCAAAGACATGGTGCGACTAGACTGGGTGTCCACAGAGGATGGCTCTCACATCCTGACCGCAGGAATCGCTGCAACTATCTATATGTATACCCAGGTATCTTCTGAAATTGTTTTGGGCTTTTATGCACTTCTCGTCACTTCAAGTTGTCTATCATTCGTAGGTCTCACTCGATCCGGCGCAACAGAACGTTGCCCTAATGAGAGATAGCGAAACCAGTATGAGGCGTCCCTCCTTGAGAAAGGCTTCTTCTCTAGTGGCCCAGTCACATTCTTACAGTCGACTGGTACGATCAGTTAATCGGTGGTGTTCGTACATTGACTCTTTCTTTGAAGACTCGCTGGGTGTGCACAAGAGTGCTCGAATTGCATTCTGCTGATGGCTTGCCACCAGTTCCAACAACGCTGGGTTGGGCTCGTGATGGCCTACTTATCGTCGGGATGCAGAGTGAAATGCGTGTGTACAATCAGTGGAATCTGCAGCGGCGTGGAAATGAGCAAGTTATGACGTAGGTCATTCACAGAATTCCTCACCAATGGATGCTATACGTTTATAGATCTTGAACCTTTTTCTTGCTGGCCAGCACCTGCAATTTTTTTCTTAAACAAAAATTGCGTTACTTTTTTAATCTAAACTTTTCGTATCTGGACTTTCATTTGTTACATTTTCCAGACATCGTGAGACGAATCCACAAATGCTCACGCTAGCGCTCTCTCAGTCACATTCAATGCTAGATCAACTTCAAAAGAAGAAGGAAGTGACACCTTCCAAAAGTCGGCTTTTCTTAGATCTAATGAATAAGTGAGTAAACTGCGCATCTGAACGCTCGTTCAGAGTGAATCGTTTTTGTTTTAGGACGTTCTCAAACAAGGAGTCAAATTCTTCCATGGTCTTAGATGCGCTTTCCGGTGAGGGTCTGTTTGAAGCTGCTCGCTTGTCTTCTCCCATCTTACCACAGTACCATCCGAAACAACTGATTGTTCTTCTCAATGCTGGTAAAACGAAAAGAGTGAAAGCAATTCTTCTTCATGTTCTTGCAGCTTTGAAGGTTTGTTAGGTATGTCCTTGCCTGAGGGTTTGATCTTGTTGTTATTTTCAGCAACGTCAAGTTGTCATGCACAATCCTTTATCTCGTGCTGCATCTATGAGGCGAATGTCTACGGTAGACGGCATTGATGAAGGTGCTACAGATGGATCCACGGTTAGTCTTTCTATTAGATCGGAATCTATTTTTGTATTACTAGGTATCATTGCATATAACTTAATCTCTTATTTTAAAACTGCGTAATCTCTGAAAGAAAATATGTTGCCTAATTATTGACGTTTACGTTTCAGACTTTGCGGACATATCTTCTTAAAGCTTTTTGATTAAGTATTCTTAAATCAATTGATGAGCCTTCAACATCTACCTTCTGAAAAGAAACGCCCAGAGTTCTTAGGCATGTGCAGATTCATACGGTCATTCAAATTCTTACGGACTTATGGCGTTATTTTGCTGTCTAGCCATTTGGTTTTTAGCTTCAAATATGTGCTGTAAAAGTAATTTTACAGACTTCCGGCTGCCAGCTTGGATGTTTTTCGTTTCCTCTTTAGCCAAGACGTGCATTGCGTATAGTATTTTTCTTACATTTAGTAGCATTCGAGCAATGTTAATATATTGAATAAGTTAAGGTGAATCCAGGGTTTACCTTTTACAAATCCTACTAAGCAGCCAAATTGCGCAAATAATGAAGTGAACTAATAGCTTATCTCTTGTTTTGGTTTTCTTTTTGCGAAGTGCTCAAAATGAGTGCAACCGAAATAAACTTTTTGCTGTTTCATGTCTTTTTTTAAACCGA